GTGCCTACGTGGACTCCGCTCTAATTTATTCTCTTAAGCTTAGGAAGCCGCGTCATTTTTAGGTACAGAAATATCAGGTTTCCCAACCAGCCTGGCCAGGGCCTGCTCAGGTAGACATATCGAGAAGGTCGAGTTAAGATGGTCAGCAGGGAGGTGCCATCGGCCTGGCTCAGAGGAAGCTGGGTTCTTGCCCAGGGGGCTGGGCTCATTGATGGGAAGGTTGTATGTGGGAGTAGGGGGACCTCTGCCAGCCAGGCACATATGGCCTGCCTACATGCATCCAGGGCTGCGTTATTCTGTGCTATGGTCATGGCTCTGGTTTCTGGGCTTGCTCATCTCCTCAGGTCTCCTCTTCCAGGAAGCCTTCCTTGATGAGCCTGTGGTCTAGACTATGTGCCCTCTATTGGTGCACCCTGCATAGTTTCTGGACATAAGTGGACTTAGAGGATGCTGTTCTGAGACTCAGTTTTCTGCCCTCTGTGAAGTGTGGTCATCACCCACAGCTAAGACATTGACCTTGAACTTGTGACATTGGGACAGTTTACAGGGCAATCTGAGGCCTCTTTCTTAGTGAGCACATTAACTGTGGCATGTGCTCTAGGGCACATCAGCGGTGCTCCCATCCCCCACTGTGGGGGTGAGACCCCTGCAGACTCCAGAAGGTGGTCTGGGCTTCCCCTCTAAGCATTTCAAGGAGGCTGTTAGCAGATCCACATTCACAGGGTGAAACAGGCTAACGAGGGCATTTCCCAGGAGAAAGGTCAGTTGTTTGGTAGATGAGTTCAGGCTGACTCTGCTCAAGTTGGAAGGATGTTTCTTTGCATGCCCCTCAATTCTGCACTCAGACACAGTGGGCTTTGAGTCTCTTTAGGTGTACATGAATGTGTGTGTGTATGTGTGGGTGTGTGTGCACATGAGTATGAGTGAGCATGAGTGTGTGAGAATATGGGTATGCATAGGTTTGCAAAGGTGTGGGAGGGTGTGTATGTGTGAGTGGATGTGTGTGTGCATGGATGTGCATGGGTGTGTGTGTGCATGGGGTGTGCATGGGTGTGTGCATGGGGTGTGCATGGATGTGCTGGTGCATGGGTGTAGGAGGGGATACGTGTGCATGAGCATGGGTGTGTATGTGCATGGGAGGGTGTGTGCATGAGCATGTGTGTGTGTGCATGGGCGTGTGTGGGGGGTGTGGGAGTCACTTTGTGGGGAGAAGAGGAGTGAGGAGGAAAGTGCCTTCTGTGGAGGGTTTCTGAGACTCTCCTCAGAGTTGACAAAGCAGTCCCGGCTGCGTTAGTTTTTAGGGGTCAGGGAAAGGCCAATCTATTTACACACCTTTGCTGAGGAGCATGGAGGGGTGGTGATGGGGGCTGGGATTAATGAGCAGTTTTATTGCCTCGCTTGTCAGGAGGGTCATGTGATATTATTTTGATATGGGGGCCTCAAAAGCAAACACAACAGGCCAGGTTATACACAGAAGAAAAGGGGGCCTCACCCCAGCCATTAGGCATTTCCCTTTCTTCTCAGTCCAGGTGGGTGGGGGGGGGGGTGTGAGGGGCAGGACCCTCCTCCCACTGCCAGTGCCTGCAGGCCGATCACGCCAAGCGGCACCAAGGCCAGCTCCCAAGATAACATTTGCCTGTGGCACCTGGCAGTGAAAATTTAACATCGCAGTTGCTAATGAATAAATTGGCCAGGCCACCCTCCCATCCACTGCTGCCTCTGAGGAGGGGGAGAGCGGGACAGCTCAGGGTGACTGTGCAGCCCCAGTGACAAACTGGGGAACAGAGGAGTGCCTGTGCCAGCACTGACTGGCTGAGTCGGGCTTCCACCCTCCTCTCTACCCTCCTCCTCTCCACCCTCCTCTCCACCCTCCTCCAAAGGCCTGTGTGAGCACTGAGCAGTCCTGGGACTGGGCAGGGGCGGATGAGAGAGGGAAATTACTGCCCATCTCTGGTTTCTTTTCTTTTTTTGCCTTCTTTTCCCTGTTGGGGCTAACTGTAGCTGTGACCAGCCACCTGACCCTGAACAGGAGGGAAGAATTCTGCCAGATAAACAAATCCACGTACGGACAGCTCCATACACTTGCCAGAGACAGGGCTGGGGAGCAGAGGGCAGGGCAGTGGGCTGGCCTGGCTGCGAGTGTCGAGACCTGGGTTCCAGGGGAAGCTCCCCAAGCTGGGGCTGAGATGCCTGGTGCCATCTTGCCACTTATCTCCTGTCACCTTGCTCTCTTAGCCTAGAACATTCCAACCTTTCCTGCAAATTCCAGCGCTTGCTCTGCTCCAAGAAGCCCTCCCTGAGCACTCAAACTGGTGAGCACACTCCCTCCTCTGAATGCATATTCAGCAGGCACTACTCGGGGTCCCCACTCTGCTAGGCAGGGGCTGTATCTCACCTGCCTATGTAAGAGGCCCTGATCTGAGGCTGCATTCATAGGAAGACCCAATAAATCCTTGTTGGCCACCAGGTTGCTTTAAATACACTTTCTGTTCGCCTCTCGTCCAATAGGTTCTGTTTATGCTGCCAGGGCTGACCACACAGGACACCTATCAGTGAATAGACAAGAGGTCCTGCCTAACTGGAGCAAGGTTTAGGGCTGCGTACCAAAGGAGAGTCCAGCCCCTGGGTGGGGGAGTGGGAGAGCTGTTTGTAGTCAGACAGCTGGGTTCAAATCTCAGCTCCACTGCCGATAGCTGTGTGACCTTGAAGAATATGCTTTACCTCTCTGTTGAAGTTTTCAATCTGTAAAATAGGGATCATGTAACCAACCTCATATTGCTGCCAGGAGAAGCCGATGAGATGATGGGTGTAGTGGACTGGTGTGTGTGCCTGCATACACAGTTATTACTATCAGTTTACTCTAGGTCGAGCCTTGGTGCAGTGTCAGATCTCAGATGTCATTTAGAGTCTCCTGGAGGAGCAGTACAGGGATTGTCTGTATTATTCAGGGCAGAGCCCTGCTGCCCAGGGCAGGGTTGCTTTTCAGAAACAAGTGTGGGGTGCGGGTGGGGGGACGCTGTTTGCCTTGTGCCACAGTGAGATCACGGGATGCCTCACCCACGGTCGGGCTGGGGGACAGCACACTGGCAGTGGGACTCACACAACTTACAGCAGAGGGGAGGGTGGGGACAACCAGCATGCAGGCCTCCCCCTCAAAGAATCACTTCGTTGTTGGTAAATGTATATTTTGAAGAGAGAGGCATGTGGCCTTTTAAGCGGTTCCTTGCAGCTACCCCAGTTTTCAAAGTAATGAGCTGTTTTCTTTTTCCCGTAAACATGAGGCTGACATCAGAGAACAATTTTTGATCCCAGTTTTAAAACGAACTGGGTGGTTTGGAGATGATGGGAATCCCAGGCAGGCGGTTGGCTCTCTTTCCCTGTTTCATTGAAAAGAATATCTTCAAGGAGCCCACAGCTCAGGGGCACGATGCACTCTGGATTATTGAAAGTTTAGAAACATTTAGGTGATTATGGTAAATAATTCACGCAGACCCTGACCAATGCAATTTATTCTTTTGTGCCAGCACAGGGGAAAAGCAGAAACCAGCCGTTCCTCTTTTACTTCCCAGTCCTATTAGCGCCATCTAGTGGAGATATGCACTAGGCACAGGATTTGCTGCTCCGGTGTCCCTTCTCCAAACTAGGGAAATGCCACTGGCCTAGAAGCCTTTTAAACCCCAGTGCCATCTGTGTTTCTGCCTCTGAGTTAGAAATACCATCAAGGGCAAATGACTCTCTAGTTGCTGATTAGCGTGCCCAGGGGCCCTGCGTCACGGTGGTCGGCGTCTCCGCGTTTGAACTTGGTGGTCACTGATTAGCAATGTTACTTCTGACACAAGCAAGTAACTTCAGTTCTCCTGGCCTCTGTGTTCCCAGCTGTGAAATGACTTTAATAACAGAACCTGTCCTATGGGGCAACCACAAGGACAAAATGAAGTGATGCCCATAGGGGATGCAACACAGTGCCTGGCACTCAGTAAAATACCAGATTTCTAGTCAAGAAGTAAAAATAAGTATTCTAAACCCAGTAAAGATCTTAGGGAAACAATTTTACGTCTTAATAACACCTTACATTTAGGAGGAACTTGGGAAGATTCTCTTTCAGGTTTGAGTTAGAAGTAGTTGCCTTTTCAATGAAGAGGCTAGTTGTGCGATGGCTTAGCCTTAGGACTTCCTTTCGATTTCCATAGTCACAGTTTGGAAATCAGAAAGGATCCTTTACATTCACCCATGATACGCAGTGCGCTGCATGTCTCCTGGCTAAAATGTGCTTTAGAAGCAGGCACTTCTTTCTAAACAGATAGAAGCAGTCTGCATTTTAGGCAAATTTAGATGACAGCAAAAGTACATTTGAAGCAAACAGTGTCTGTGTTTTGCTGAGTTTAGGTAATAAGAGTTTAGCTACTCTGGTCCAGCTGGGATCTTTCTAAATAATCCACATCCCTAAACACCCACAGCTGGGGGGAGGCATGTAAACACTGGCAGCACATCTTGGGGACCTTGGTGGTGGCACGTTGCCCTCGGAAAGCTCCTGGTACCAGGGACCCCGTCCTGTAGGAACAATAGGCCCAGCATAGCCTTGGCAGAGGTCTCAAGGCTTCTGCAGCTCCATCTGGTAAGTGGCCAGGGGCACGGGGTCCAGCCATGAGCCCGAGAGACTGACAAGAGTGGATGAGTAGCAAGAGAGAGCTGAGCTCAGAGTCTCAACACCTGGGCTCTGGTACCAGCCTGCCACTTGCCACCTGCTTTCAGTATAGTATCTGCTTCCGTATCTATGAAATGGGATAACACCCTTGCCCAAGTGTCACCAGGATGAAAGAAGAGACTTTCTATAAACTCCACCAGCCATTAGGGCCTGAAAATGCCCCCACCTGCCTATCCCGTTGCAGCGACCACTGTGATGTTTCCTGGGGGTGGGCTGCCGCACCCAAGACCCCCGTCCTGTGACGAGAGAAGCTGACTTTGGACTCAAGGGCACAATAACTTCAAACACACTAAGCAACAGTTTAACATTTTACTAAATCAATTCACACAAATTCCAAATTGCAAATATAATTAAGGGCAACAGATTCTGTTCTGCCTTTTAAATCTTCCATTTTCAAATCCATCATTAAGACAAAAAGTAAACAAAAATTAAGTCTGCGGTATATTCATGATTTTTCTTCATGAGGAAAAAAGGAACATTATAGTAAAAAGAACGCCACTGGGTGTACAATAAAGCACCACGACACACGGTTACAAAGCGGGCTTCCTGGGTTCTGCCACCCGTGGTGGACGCTGCTCTCCCGGCTGCTCTGCGGCAAGCAGGGCTTCATTAAAATAAAACAATAAAATCTCCTAGGTCACACTCAAGTCAGACACAGTCTGGAACACAGTGCTTAACAACAGTAATGCCAACTATCAGTGCTAACATGAGAACATTTTAGGTCGAAACAATTAAACTGGAAACCAAAACCTTATTTTCCCTAGATGAGCAAAATTGAAAACGAAAGGGTTCCCGCCTCCCAATAGGAGTGAAGGGGTTTTTTTGTTTTTGTTTTTTTTCTTTCTTTCAAATTGGAGGCAGGGGGCACGATGCGGTTCGTAGTTCCTCAGCCTAGTTGGCGTCCAGCTTGGCCATTTCCTGCACGTAGATGCCTATACTCTCGCTGTCAAAAAGCACGAAATATACTGTTTTGATGGAAGAGGACATTGTTGACACGAAGTAATTGGAGATGGCCTTCAGAATCAGCTGAGCTGCTGTCTGCTTTGGAAAACCGTTCCTGCAAGACAGAGGACAGGGCTCAGCAACTAGGGAGGCAAGGGCACTGGCACCGCCCTGCCCCCGCCCCCCAGGAGGCTCTCAAGGCCACGTGTGTCAGTTTCCACGAGCGGTGTTGGGTCCTGTGGCTGCTGATAGACAGGCATGAGGAAGCCCAGTGCCCACCAGACAAGGGAAGGACGAGTGGGCAGAGGACTGACCGCAAGAGACTGTCCTGTGTGCAGAGGAGGAAGCATGCCAGAAGTCTCTGAAAGACAATGGGCAAGCAGACAGATCTGTGTTCTGTGGCACGTGGTGTGCATTAAAGTTCCCCCAGACAGCGCGAGCTCCCATGTTTGTTTTTCCAGCATCACTGTGACCAGCAAGGGGCCTGGGACAGAGTCCAGGCTCTCAAAGGCTCCCTGTGGATCTCGGTCCCAGAGGACGGCTGGAGGCTGGTGCTTCTCCAAGAAGCTCTCGTCTCCATCCACACAAGACAGGAGGTCATGCCCTTCACATGGGTCCTTAGGTTCATGGGTGCTGGGCTGCTGGCCAGGAACCCACTCCAAGCACTCAGCAGCCTGTAGCACCCCCAGGGCCAGGGCATCAGGGAGCTGTGGGTGCTGAGGAACAGTGCTGGGCCAAGTGGCTCTTCATCTCAAGGGACAGCATCCAAGCCTCCAAGCCAGACTGGTGTGAATTCACATGCATTTCCATTTAGAGTAAATGTCACATGGCAATTTGGGGGGTGGGGCCTCAGAACTTAAGCAAGAATCTGAAATCAGGACTCCATGCGAGTCCCAGGCTATCATGGTCAATGCTGCACATGCAGGACCCCGGTGACCCTGGGGGCCAGTAACATAGCAACTTGCCTCGTCTAGTGGAAACACTGTGGGTTTCGGAGCCATTGGTCTTACCTAGATTCAAACCCCTTACCCCGGTTTGCACTTCAGGGTACTGAGAGGTAGTTTTCATGAGGATTTCTTTGTTCATCAGCAGATCTACAGTTGTCAATCTGCTCTGAGCCTGTGGATCCACTGGTACCCAAAGTGCCTGACCAGCCTGCCAGTTTCAGCTGGACTCTCCATCAGATTGGGGACCTGCCGCCAGGTGAGATGCCTTAGAGCACACCAGCCCCACTCATTGGTAGCCGGGGTTCTGGCCACCTTAGCTGTTGGAGAGTTGTGCTCATTCTGTTGTCAGTGCTCAGAGCACTTCTGATGCACAGGAGAAAACCATTCCTGTGACTTGCTTTTGACCAAACAGGGCTTTACCCAGCTTGGCGATGGACCCCTGGTAACTTCTGGATGCGTTAGAAGTGAAGCCTATTCTTACAAGACAGGGGTGTCACACAGGGTATGTTTCCAGCTTGTACAGGGAAGCCCACTGGCGACAGTGGGGTGCCACCCAGAGTCAGAGCCTCAGCCACAGGCGCTCCTGCAGGCAGCCAGTACACACACGACTGGGTGAGGACAGTGGGTCAGAGGCTGAGTGAACAGATTCAGAGTTGTTACAGCCTGAACAATGTCAGATAGGCACAGCTTCCTCCTGAGGAGACCCCGGGGACTCTACTACCAGAGTGGGGGGGACAGTGCAGGGAGAAGGGCTTTGCAGGGAGTGAGAAGAGATGGGAACCCCACGTGGCAGGTTGTTCCCCTCGCACCCTTCCCCACTCTGGGATTGGCAAGCTCCGTCCGGGAAGAAGCTGTTCTCAGCACATCTGGCACAGGTGCCCTGACTACTCACAGGCATTGAGCACAGAGGACGGGTTATCTGGAAAGTGCTGGAGGAAGCCAACCCGACCTTCTGTCTCAGGGGGCATTTCTCTGGTGAGCATGTCCTCAGGGGTATGTGTGCAGATGAGTGTCATGGGGGCCCAACTCGCCCCGCTCCTGAGAGGGACCAGCCAGCTCTGGGGAGCGGAGTGCAGGCACAGGTCACTGCATCCTTGGACTAAGGGCCCATTTTAATTGTCTCACAAATAGCAAATGTTTATTCTCCTGCTGTTCACACAGCTGCCACCTGAAGGATGGTCAGATGATAATGATCCCATTAGCTTCATCTTGGTGGGGAAAGGCAGCCTGAGGAGGAGGCAGCCTAGGGGCTGGCTCGTCACTGGGAGCAACTGTGCTCGCCCCCAGGAGCTCCAGGGCTTTGGACCAGGCAGAGCCCTGTCTATGGACGTGACCTGCCTGGGTGGGGCTAAGCAGAGCTGGGAGCCCAAGATCATGCTCCACAAGCTACAAGCTCCCCTAGTGAGGGTGCCCTCCTGCCCGTCTCAGCCTCACACCTGCACAGGTGAGCTGGGCTGAGGTGAGGGCCTGTGGGACTTCTTGAGGATTACTGTTGTGTGGCATGATGGTCCAGGGTGTTTGCTGAAAGGGTCTCCCTGGGGCACCAGACCCTGCCTGTTATTCCCACAGCTTTCCATTCCTCTACCTGGGACCCTTGAAAAGGGCTGTGTGATCTCAGCAAGGGGATATTTTCAACGTTAGCCAGGGCTGAGGAGGGCCTGTGGAAACGCAGGCTGCTGGGCTCCACGCAGGGAGCTGACTCAGCAGGTGTGGGGACTGCCCTTTGGAGCCACTGTTCTTTGTGGAGCCAGCAGGACTTTATCATCTGAGCTTGCAGGGTGGGCTCACAGGTGAAGAGCCTGCAAGTGGGGACACAGGTAGGGATCAAAGGGTTTAAAGGTGCAGTGTCCACACCTGCATGCCCTCCTATTGATGGAGTGCGGGCTGGTCTGGCCTTGTCCTTCAGGGTGGCTGTGGGTGAATGTGAATCTGATCTGTTTCAAGGAAAACATCTTGCTGCTGAACCCGTCCCTCTGCGCTGGACAGCCACAACCACAGGAGGTGGCCACACTGGACCACCCAGCTGCCAGGAGTGGAGGTAACAGCTTTCCAAATGTTTTCAGGTGGGGTCCCCGGGTTTCCTAGTAGCCACAGTTAGAGAATATGTGATGAAATGGAACATACAAGTAGATGTTCTCACAGGAGTGCTTTACACAGAGCCCTGCGCCCTTGAGAGGGACAGCTGTGGCACACGCGGCGACCGGGAGCCACACAGGATTTGACTTTGGGCCCTGTCTCTGTGCCTTGTTTCCCCGTCTGGTGCAATGGGGTCGGTAATCAAAGTACCTGTTACCTGAGGAGGCTGTGAGGACGAGCAAGATGCTGCACCAAGTCCTCCTCCAATGGTGTATCTGTAAAGCGGGTGGTCTCGAAGGTCTTTCTAAAGGCTCACCCAGTGGAAAATCGCCTCCCCACTCCAGACCCTGTGATAGCTGATGGGTGACAGCTACTGTCGTTGTAATTACCCTGTGCTAATAATGTGGCATCAGGCCCCAGTCCTCTTGGAGGGCTGTTGGCCATGGCTGTTGGTATGACGAAGCTTGGCAGGGGCACAGGTAGGGGTTCCTTGGTGTGGTGCTGCCCAGGTTCTGGAGAGCTGCTTGCCTAAGGTGTCTCCCTCGACTTTCGAGGGGTTCCCCCTGTTGGTTGCATAGGCACAGCCCCTCTGCACACCATCGCTGCTTGGCCATGTCGTTCGCCTTCTTCCCCCATCTCAGGCCTACTGCCTCTCTTACCATCACTGTCCTACGCTGCACCGTGCCTGCCTTCTGGTGAGACCAGATGCACCTCCTCTGACACACAAGCCAGCTTGAATCTGACTTGGATGGGCGTTAACCTCCCTAGGCAATAGTGTCCTCCACTGGAAAATAGGTGCCTCAAGGATACACATGGTGATGACCACGATGGTGGTGATGTGGATGCTGCTGCCCAAGAAAGTGAAGGCGCCCCTCATATTCCCACTGGGCCTGACCCAGTGGCTGTGGTTATGGCATGTGTCTTAAGTTTCTCTGTGGCTAAGTGCTCACACCCTGCAAGGTTTATCTGAAACTTTGAGCTTTTTTTTTCTTGATCTTGCCTTGAGCAGACAAAGGACAGATGTCTGAGCTTCCCATGAAGTCACTCCAGTTATGTCTGGGACAGCCTTTCCTAAATGTCTTGGGCTTCAGTTTCCCTAGACTGGTGCAAAGGGACCCTGGGGACTATCTGTCTGGTGCCCTCTTGGATTAGCCTGCTCAGTGATGGCTGGGGACCGGATGGCAGAAATGTGGGTTTGTAGGGCACTTCACAGAAGAGCCCGCTCCTTGCGTAGGGCATCAGCAAGCATCCCTGTTTCTGGAGAGCTGTCCTCCAGTGCTGGGCAGGGCAGGGCAGGCCCAGAGCTGTGCTGAGGAGGCCAATCAGGCACCTAGCGGGAGAGGCTGTGCCCGGGGTGAGGGAGTCCAGGCGGGTTTTCTGGAGGAGACGGACTGGGAGCTTGCCCTTGAAGGCTGTGTGGCGGTGACGTGGATTTTAGATGGAGTCTGATTTTCTTGCTGGGCCCATCTACCTGTCTAGTTGGCTTTGCTGCTTGGGAGATGGGTGGGGCTGGATATCTTGGAAGCTTGGGGGATGTGAACACTCATCTGCTAGGATTGGGTCTCCCTCACACTGTGATCCTGGGCCCCTCCATTTTTTCCATGTTCTGTCTGGCTTTGAGTAACTGTCTATCTGAAGTTGCCCAGCGAGAGGCCACTCCACCCAGAGATAAAGACCAGGTGCTACAAATTGGAGAAGCCAAAATTCAGGTGGGGATGATGATGGGCCTCTATCCCCCAAGGCTAGAGAGGGGCTGGGGTTCACATGTGGTGGGTTGTTAAGTAATTCTCCCTAATTCAGTTGGTTTCTGTCCTTTATATTTCTCGTCTACGGTTCATGTGTAGGGGCTAGGGAAGCTGAAGGCTGTGCCTGGGCAGATTAGGGAAGTCCAAGTGGTGGTTCCAAGGTTCCTAAGACCCACTCACATAGAGTGTGCAGGCAGTAGGAGAGCCTAGTGGCATATGAGGAGGCAGGGGTTCCATGTGCCTAATACCATGAGCACTGAAACCAAGGGCCTTCACTCAAATTCTGGCCCTACCAGTTGCAAGCTGTGTGACCGCAGGTGAGGGACTCAACCCCGCTACCTCCCATTTCCTTCCCCTTGAGTGGAATGAATACCAGCATGCACCTCAGGGGTTGCTGTGAGAGAATGCAGAGAAGGCTTTAGCACAATGCCTGGGGTTCAACGAATACCATAAATGGTAGCTTGAAAAAGACGAACTGGCTTTCCGTTTAAGCTCATAAACCTAAGGAGAGTTTAATCAAAGCCCCAAACTAGCTATTCCCTATGGACTGCCCCTCCGGAAAGGGGTCACTCCCTAATGTCAACCAGAGCTGAGGGGGTGGAGGTGTCCATAAATATTGTGACCGAGTGCCCAAGGGCAGGATGTCCAGATGCCAGAGGTGGCTCTCATTTATACCCAGTGGCTTTGAGATTGGTCCGGGGGACAATGGGTTGGAGGAAGGGAGTGTAGGGTCATGGTCATCCTCCATCTGCAGGGGACGCTGGGCCTCGGCTGAGAGAAAGTGAGCCCACTTTACCAACATGTTTGCATTGATATCGCTTTAGTTCCAACATGACTTTTATGCCAGGGACACTGGATGCCACAAACAAGCTGTTTTATTTCCCCTCCTAAACCCACTGTGATTTACTGGCCAGCTCTGGTGTAATCCCATTCTTTACTCATGAAAGAGAGGGTGGTGTTTACACGGTGCTGTGGGGCAAGGTCTGCCTGGCAGATGTGGGCGGCTGTGCACATGTGCTTACCTTAGGAATTCCACCCTCTTAAAAGCTTTCAATTGATTATTTCTTAAAACTTTTTACTCCATGAAAAATGTAAATGAGTTTGTAATAACAGATGCTCTTTTATGAGAATTACTTTTATGCTTCAATTAGAAATTCCCCAATAGCCATATGAAAGAGCATGAAATTATTACCTCCAATAATGGCTCCTATTGCTTCTCTCTTCGGAAGCACCTTTCATCAGAGTAGATCAAAGTGCCTCCAAAGCACTAATTAACTGAACCTCAGAACTGCCTATAAGGAAGGGCAGCCCCCAGATATGCTTCAATTAGAAATTCCCCAATAGCCATATGAAAGAGCATGAAATTATTACCTCCAATAATGGCTCCTATTGCTTCTCTCTTCGGAAGCACCTTTCATCAGAGTAGATCAAAGTGCCTCCAAAGCACTAATTAAACTGAACCTAGAACTGCCTATAAGGAAGGGCAGCCCCCAGAGAGGGTGATTCATTTACCAAAGGTCACACAGCAGTGCAGTGTCAAAGAACAGACCTTCTGTGGAAGGTTGGAGAAGCTGGCTATTTATGCTCTGATACAAAAACATTTTGTAAAAATGTTTTAAAGTCTTGAATTGACTCTGGAACTGCCGCTGGCACCTTATGAAGCCAGCTGCCTCTGCAGAGCCCTGACTTCCTTGGGTACTGAGAGGGGCTGGTGGCAGAAACCCAAGCAGGCTCATGATCTCGATGGGAAGCCCAGGTGCAGCCACCTGCTGATACAGAGCCCTGGACTGTGGCCTCTCTTGGGCCCAAGATACCAACAGCTGCAGCCCTGAAGGCCATCTCCCTTCGCTCAGGGCCCAATCCAGACCGTGAGCCTTTGCAGGGAGGACCCTGGTGATGTGAGGGCCGTGGAACCTCTGGGGTAGCATGGCTCCTACAGGCCCTCACGGCTTCATCAGAGTTCTCACAGCCCTCTCCCTCATTTCCAGAGCAGGCCTAGGATGCTGCATGAGGGATTGCTATGACTGTTATACAGAGTAGGGATTTGGGCTCAGAATGGGGGTCAATTTATGTGCCAGGACTCAACCCCAGGCCTGTCCCCAACCCAGAGCACAGGGAGGTGGGGTGGTCGCCACCCTGGCTGCCCCATCAGCTTTTCAAGGACGACCGCATCCATGCTGGGTAGTGTGTCTGTTGAGGGGCAGCTGTGCTGCTCCTCACAGCCTCGGTGCGCTCACTTGGGGATAATACAGGGCTGAGAGGTGGGGTAGGTCCAGCCCCATTTCACTCTCACCTAACTGCCCACTCAGTTCCAGCAGGTTCCACATCCTCATTAGCAGGGTGATGAGGCAGAGCAAGCAGGTCTGGGAGGTGAAGGTCGCTTGGGAACACATGGGTAAGAGACAGAGGGCTTTACCCTGGGATGGTTCTGGGAGGGGTCCTCCTTCAGTTAGATCCCTGCATTCACGCCTCCCCTGTCCTCCATGCCCACTCTGAGCCATCGTCTGACAGTCCCAGGACACTCTTAAGTTACCCTCTGTGATGACACTTGCTGTCGCAACACAAGTTCTATACTGTCCCAGGCTTCCTGTCTCACTCTACCTCTTCCACTGTCCCTCACCACTGCTTAATGTGTGCATTCTTCCCGATTTTTTGCCTCTCTTCCCCTAGAGCAGTGGTCGGCAAACTGCGGCTCTCGAGCCACATGCGGCTCTTTGGCCCCTTGAGTGTGGCTCTTCCTAAGCCTTAGGAGTACCCTAATTAAGTTAATAACAATGTACCTACCTATATAGTTTAAGTTTAAAAAATTTGGCTCTCAAAAGAAATTTCAATCATTGTACTGTTGATATTTGGCTCTGTTGACTAATGAGTTTGCCGACCACTGCCCTAGAGTAAGGCCAGTGCTTGAAAGCAGCCTCGGGTGACTTTGTACACAGTCAGAGCTCCATAATTATGGGCTAAATATGCAGAGAAATACACCCATGGTTGCCATAGTAACAGGCTGGTGCCCTTACCTGCCACTGCCGATGGATGGAAACGCGATGGACTTCAGCTTCTTATCATCTGCCAGGGCCAAGCAGTTTTTCACTGTCTTTTCCAGCAGCTCCTCACATTTGTCTGCACCCCAGACCGGGCTGTTACAGTGGATCACAAACTTGGCGGGCAGGCCATGTCCTGCACTGACAGCAGCTGGAGGGGACGAGATAGGAACAGTGTTTGTCCCTCAGCAAAGAGCACAGCATTAGATGCCAAACACAGACCCATTCTCCAGCCACGGTACTACTGCCTGCTGAGTTGGGATTCCTATGTAAGCATGAGCTGGAAACTGCTCCTCAGTTAGTCCTCTCACTCTGGGAGGCCAAGCCAAGACCCAGCCTTGGAAAGTTGGCATTGGCTGCATCACCACAAGGAATTTTAGCCAAGATTGTAGAAAGTTCTTCCTCTACTTTCTCAGAAGGAAAAGCCTTAACCATCTAACTTGACCGACTGTGTCAGAATGTTTGCAGCCTCCAATTAACTGCCTTTTGGGGTCTCTAACCCCCTTTTCTCAAGTGCATTCATGTGCTTATATAATTATGGTGTATCTACAGGTCTCCCAGACATAGTTCAGGACAAACTTATGAGGGAAGCAACCCGACTAGCATGTTTGCTGCCCTGTTCTTCTCCCTATTTAGTTTTGACAGAATTACCAGGTGTACCGGTTAATAATGCAGATTTTGTATTCAAAGAAAACATGATAATTTCAAGAGAAACATCAAAAGTGCTTTATTCAAAGTAATGTCCATCCCTAGCTACACATTTCCCCCATCTTTCAGGTAATTTGTGGATACCGTCCCAATAGAACTTTTCTTGCTTTGAGGCAAACCATTCAGAGACCCAATTTCCCACTTCTTCGTACGTTTTGAAGTGCTGCTCAGAAAGTGCATGTGCCATCGATCAGAACAAGGAGTAATCTGAAGGAGCAAGGTCTGGTGAATACGGCGGGTGGGTTAATACTTCCCAGGCAAGATCTTTTAACGTGTCTTTAACTGGTTTTGAAGTGTGATGGTGCGTTATCATGAAGCAAAATTACTTCGCCGTATCTTCTGGCCCATTCTGGTCGTTTTACGATCAAAGCGTGGTTCAAATTGATTATCTTTTATCCGTAGTGATCAATATTAACAGTTACACCTGGTTTTAAAAGCTCATAATACACTCCCACCTTCCTGATCCCACCAAACACAGAGCATTGTCTTCTTTCCGAAGCGATTTGGCCTTGCAGTCGATGTTGATGGTTGACCTGGATCAACCCATGATTTTGTGCATTTGGGATTCTCAAAATAAATCCACTTTTCATCACCAGTCACAATTC